ACGGCTATACCCGAGAGACTACCTCGAGCGGTCGCTCTCGCTTGGGCTCCCCACTTATGCCGGGTCGCTCCCACTTCCCGAACTTTCTCTTTCGCCTATTGTTCGCGGCCCGCACATCTGGCGCGATCATGTGAAAACAAGTTGATTATCACTACCCCCTCGCGTGCCTTTTTGCACACTTTCGATTTACGCCCGTTCTCGAAGGTTCCCGTGGTCTCGCCTTGGCACCACTGCACCATGTTTTCACTTCCGGAAATTTCTCGACGCGGATGACGCCCTGCGCACCTCCTTGGAGATGCCCCTGATGGTGATTCCGGGTGTTTTTCCTGTGGAGGACGTCCGGGTGACATCTTTGTTGTCGGTCGCTGACGCCGACCCGCTGGCTGGGTTCCTTGGTGGCTAGTATTACCTCTCTGGGCCTTTGTTCCTGGAGATGGTGCGTTTCCCGGAAATCTCGTCGAAGAACGACGTCGACCCCCTAGGCGGGTGTCCCAGGACTTTTCTACGACGGATTCCGTTCTTTGTTCCCGGGGAAGATGCGTTTCCCGGGGAACTTATCCGATCATGACGCCGACCCCCTGGGAGGGTGTCCCAGGTCCTGGCGAGACGGATGGATACTCCAGTTCCTGGCGAAAACGTGTTTCCCGAGGATTTTGACGGACCATGACGCCGACTCCCTGGGGAGGTTCCTCCGGTCCTTGTGAGACGATCGGACCCCTCTCTTTCTGGAGAAGATGCGTTTCCCGGGAATTTCACCGGACGATGACGTCAACACCCTGGGACGATATCCCAGGTTCTCGGGAGACGCTCCAGCATCTCTGTTTCTGGGGAAGTTGGATTTCCCGGGAATTTTATCCTTTTCTGGCGCCTACCTGATGGACGTGCGTACCGGGTCCGGGGGAAGTTCCTCCGTGCCCCCAATACTGGATATCGTCGTGACTTTCGGTCAACGCATTGGAATGGACGCGCCGATTTTTGTGCGCGAGGTATAACTAAACTTTATCGTGAACCGCTAAACAAACTAAGACCTTTATGATCGGCGGTTAGTCAAAGAAACGTTTAAGCCTAATTTTGGCCGGATATATTTTCTAACCTTTATGCATATACTATATAGGCTGTCTAGGCCTGCTGCTATGCTACTTAGCCCATAGCAATTGCAAAGAAACGAAAATTAAATCTGAAATCAATATGGCCATTCGGGCCTGACGCGAATCTTATATCTAGAGAAAGAAATAGCCATATGGGCTTAACGCTGTTTTAATAAATTGAGAGAAATAGCCACATGGGCGTAACGCTATTTTGTGTCCAGAGAAAGAAATAGCCATATGGGCATGTCGCGGTCTTATTTTAAAGAAAAAGGAAATCCCGAATGATCGCTTAGATTTAACGCCTATTCCTCACGACGAGTCTCTCCTTCGTACTCATCGGGAGATTTATTCTCAACTTGCATCGTATGCGTTCGCCGTCGCGCAGGCGCCGTTTTTTCTTAGCTCGAACATCAAAGAACTCGCGAGTATTTTCGCTCCGTCTGCTGCCCGGGAGTACGGTCGTCATCTCCGCTCGCTCCTCCGGTTGCTGCGTCCGCTGACTCGTTCCTTGCGGGGTTTCACCCGCTCTCGGCTGCCTACCCGAAGTGTACGGCTGCAAGGTTATATTTAATGGTTCAAAAATTTTTATTTTTGAAATTGCATGGTTTATGAAAGTGCATGATTGGAGAGATTAGGGTTAATTATAAAACTAATGTTAACATTTATATAGTGTAATAAATGTTTTTAGTATAATAAAAACAAGATAATTATGTCCTTGGCAACTATCATAGTCCGACTAATTTTTTAAGTGAAGAAGATATGCTGTGCACATTTCAATATAATATATTAAATTCAGTGTGTTCGTGGTACACAACAAGATCATGTCTGATATGTTAATTTTGTAAAATATAGAAGTTATAATATAATAAGAAGTATACGTGAGAAAAAAATAAAAACAAGGAAAAAATGACTAATGACCATGAAATTTGGACTTTAGTCAAAAAATCTCATAAAGCGTGTAGAAAATGATATATGTGTATTAGAATTAAATAAATAAATTTTCTGTTATTTTATTGTAATCTTATGATTTTATTTTAAATCTTGAATGTGATGCAGAATGAGTTCCATATATATAAAAAAAATATTGTTTATAAAAGCAAATACAGGTGTATAGTACATTGTCACAATATAAAAAATAGAGATGCAATATGCAAATTGCAACAATTATAATATACAAAGCGCGATAGATTCAAGATATATTATTGTTATATTTTACTATACGTATAACTACTGAAATACAGTGATACTTAACGTATACGGTTATATTGTATATATACCAAGACAATTCATATAATCCTATCAAATATAAAGGATGTCATACTTTACTCATGCTTAGATTGCTTTATGTATTTCTGTATATTTATATTTCAATGTAACATAATTGTTTATTACATATAATCCTGTTTTACTGATAAAAAGTAAAACTTCTTAGAGGATATACAGTTTTATCAAATAAATATTATAATATTCTTTTTTAAAGTTCTGATTTTTTGTACTCCTGCAGTAGCAGTCAATTGTCAATCTTTGTTAAGGCTTATGGGCTCTTCTCGTCATAATGTGAGATTGTAACGTCAGGTGAGCGAGAAATAGCAAGAATTCTCAGCGTGTTATTTCAAAATATATCATTTCTCGCCTCTGACGTCACAATACATTTCACATCATGACAGAAAGAGCCCAGGAGCCTTAAACATATACGTCATCTTCTCATTACGGAATGTATCAAGAAAGGTGAAACAAAAAAGAAATTAGTTAAAGATTTTCTAAAACTATTACTTGTAGATGTTGGCATGAGTGTGAATAAGACTGTCTTATGGCTCCTGCACACAGGACACGGCAGCGCGGCAATGCGGGAAAGCGGCAAGAAAAAGTTATTTTTTCGACGTTCACACAGCACGCGTTAAAATAGCATTGTACGCATGCGCAAATACGCAAATTGTATATTTCTCAACGGATACATTGTATAACCTATTCTGTATGTTGTAAGATTGTAATTTTTTTGTCTGTATATAGTTCGATGGTGGTCTTAAATTTTAAAAATTTAAGAAGAAACAAAATCTTAAAAAATTAAAACATCTGCTTACTTGTAGAATACTACAATTATTTATAAATGACTATAGAAATCTACCACAATTTACATATCGTAAAACTATACAAATTAGAATCTAATCCAGTTTTTAGTTTCTCATAAAATACTACAATTTTGTATGAATAGTAACAAATACTGATTTGTACAGCTCAAAAATCTATTACAATTATGACTAATTAAAATTTGTAATTTTTAGTTAAATGTTACAACTTTTTACACAAATCTTCCAAAGTTCATCTATTATTAATAACTTCTTAATTCGCAGAAGTTAAAATACTTATGTTTTTATTTTAGTATAGTTTGTTGTAAAGTCTAATAGAAAAATACATAAATGTACAATTTTTTACCTATATAAATTTCTGATTCGTGAATGGTTGTAATTTTGCATACAATACTACAAGGTTCTACAGAAAACGACGAAATCCTTAAGCCTTTTACAACTCGTGAATTCATGAAATGAATGTGAATTCTACATAAATTTGCTTTTTTTAGATATTTATAAGATACTACAATTTTGCATGGAAATTAACAGACCTTCCACTAAACCTTCAATTTTTCCATAGAAAGTAAAAATTAATATGTCAATTAAAAAAATCAAGTATCTTATGCAAAATTAGAAAAAAAAAAGAAAACTTAAAATAACATATAAGCAATGAAAAGTGCCGTTTTCGGTCAAAGCGGATCTTAATGCTTAATAATATTTCACAATATCAATTATTATTAAATACATGTTTCAGTTTTTTAAATTGGCACAGCGTGCCAATATAGACTTTGTCGGACTTAAAACGCAATTGTGTAGACTGAAACTAAAAATAATATATTTTATATTAATTTGATATTGTCAAGTAAAATAATATACTATTAGAAGAATATTTATAACAGTTATACAAATTTATATGGATAGATCCATTATAGAGTATATATTCATAATTCATATATGATTATCTATCACACATGATAATATACTAATATATAAAACCATATATGACTATATAAAGTTATACTTAAAGAGATTTAGCCATATATAATATTGTTCAAGATTATATTTCCATTTCTCATATTACCATATATAATTATATATTTACTAATATGAACAAATAAGAGGTATTTTTTCCCGAGTATATAATCATATATGCATATATATGGCCATGTATAATTATATGCTCTCATATATGGCCATATAATATTATTTAAGATTATATTTTCCATTTTTTATATGATCATATATAACCATATATCTACTAATATAAACTAATATAAACTAATATAAATAGATAAGAGTTTTTTCCCGGGTTATGCGGTTTTAGACATGTGTGTATGTGGTGCTGGGTAAGGTTTTTTTTTATAATGACTCGCTTTTTATTTTACAGATAAGTTAGAATAAAGAAGTATTTTTTTCTTTTTGTAATCGCACAGCGCGACGTTGGCCCAATAGGCCTATTTTGTAATGAACCGGCACTGGTTTCTGACATTCACCCGACATTAAAAAAAAATTATATTTGTATATCCGATTCGAAATTTTATTACTCTTTTTAAACTGAATTTGTTTCTTAATAATTTTTAAAAAATTATATATTTGCGCTGGTTATGACACATGTAGACTATACATATATAACACTTACATCAAATTAAGAAGTAATCTACCACGTAAGACGGTTGGCTCACGATCCAGAGGTCCCGAGGTCTCGAGTTCGAATCTCATCAAGGTAAGTGTGTTTTTCAAGTACGAGAAAATATTTATAATCATAGGTTGCATCTTAACCCTTCGCCCGTAAACTGGGTCATAAATGGCACAAGCCGAAATTCAAGATAGAATACCGCCGAAATGAAAAGGGGGGGAGGGCTTGCCGTCCCTCGTAAAAAAAGTAGGTAGTGGGGAGAACTCATGCCCAAAGTTTCGTTGGAATTCGCCAGTGTGTGCTTGACCAGCAGCGAGTCAAAGTGCGTCCAGTGCCACTATTGACCCAGTTTACGGACAGTGCCAGACTTTCGTGCAAGTAAGTAAAATTAATTTAACGTCATTTTCATATTACTACAGTTATTTTTAACTTATATAAGTGATATTTTTTTATGATTGTGTATATTATATATACCTATAACCTCAAAATTTGAGTGGATAAAAACACGTGTAAAAAGAAATTACATGTACTTTCAGGGTACAATGGATGATCAAGCGACAAATATCAGATATTATTTACGAGAAAGACGATTTTATATGATTTTTTAATAAAATAATGTAAAAATTACGTTAAAAGTCTTATTTCTCCTTAACCCGAAAAAGGCCATTTTCAATCCTCAGAATAATTATACTTTTTAAAAATGACCCATATACAGAATTTTTTTCTTGAAAGTACACATATTTAACTATAAAACCTCGTTGGAATTTTTTATTTTGATTTAAAACTCAATGAGATATGATTTTTTTAATAAAAATGGATTTTTATCAATTTTTTGCATAAAGAATTATTTATAAACAATTTATCTTATAATGAATCGCTAAATAAACTTTGGGATTATAAAATAGGATAGTATACAAGTATTACAGAATTTTTTCAGATTTTTTGAACACTATTTACTAGGTCAAAATAACGACAGGACATTTATGACCCAGATTACGGACGATGCCAGTCAAATTATAGTTTACGGGCGAAGGGTTAAGAAACACTACGTTTAGGTTAGGTTAGGTAACGCGAGCGTTACTTCAGTAGTAATTTACTCATTTACGCGGAGTGAATTATCGTAAGTTTAGTACTACGAAACCCCGTTTACGCAGAGAAATTATCGTAAGTTACTACAGAAGTAACGCTCGCGTAAACATAGTAATTGTTTCATGCCATGATCGAGGTTATTCGATCTTGATTGTGGAACTTGCATATATATAGGTTTTAATAAGTTAAAAGGATCTACATATATATTGGGAACGGGCATGATGACGTCAGCTAGCTAATATGGCGGCCATAGTACGGATCGTAAACACGCGAGTGCACGCGAGACACATGTGTGCTCACGCATTTTTGTCGATATAGAAAGCATAAATCAGAGTAAAGTGTGTGACGTGACATTTGTCGCGTCCGCCGCCCAGACGATAGCTCGGCCGAGGGGAAGGTCAGGGATGGCGCCTCGACTCGGGTCGAGGAAGGGCTACCCGCGTTAACTAAACTTTTTTAAGAAACATTCCGTAGGGATGACGGGTGGTGCCGGAGCGTGGAATCACGAACAGATGTAACGACGAGGGAGAAACGGGCGCTCGGAGGACGCACGACGGAGTGGTCGGCCGACGGGCGGGCCACCGGGACCTGCCGCTGGAAAAGCGCCGGGAATGCCTCGCACAGCGTAACACGGCCCCGCCGCAGCATGAACACGGGTGCGCCACCGCGACTGCAGCGCGGGTGGACGACCCGCACACTCACCCGACGGCGCCCCCAGGGCCGAGCGGCGCCGCCACGGCCTGGCCAGCCGAGCGGAAAACCGCGAGGGGCCCGCGCGCAACCAGCAGCCAAGTCAAACGGGCCGCGGGAAAATGGCGGAGATCGTCCGCAACGTCGCGAACAGGGCGACACACACAACCAATCGGCAGGGCGGAAGAACCGCGAGCTTGAGGGCGCAAGTGCGGGGGTGGTCCGGCGTGGTCCCGCCGAGCCGGTCGCTCCTCACTGTCGATCTAGCCGCGGACGAGGAGCCACCCCTGGAGGAGCGCCCCGACGCCGCCGAACCGCAGCGAGCAGCAGAATTGTAAGATCTCCACTCCGGTGCTGCCTATGAATTGAGGGCTCGATCTCGGTCGCGACACGGTGCCAGAAAGGCGTATATCGAGTAGATTACCGTGTGAATCGGCCTGATTACGTGTCGTGCTTAGCTACCGGCTCCCGCCGTTGTGGGTGCCGGCAAGATTATCGTGGCTGTTTGTCGGGATCGCGGGCACGTGGCCGGCCGAGATCGTAACCAGAAACAGTAAAAGCCCTACTCGAAAGCTTGTGAATGATCGGCAGTCAATTCGCGTATATCGTCGTGCGTGTCTTGTGAATCGTGGGCGGAGGTGTGCCGCGGGCGGCACGCTCCGGTGCATATTGTGTTTAGTGTTGCGTATTAGAGTATAGTGTGGCGTTTCGCGTACGGAAGTCCCGTGTGCGTGTCGGGAGGGACCGCGCCGGGCACCGGTTTTGCGTATTTGGGTATATTGTCGCGTGTAGCGTACGGAAGCCCCGTGTGCGTGTCGGGAGGGACCGCGCCGGGCACCTTGGGGTGCATTGGGGTGCATCGCGAGCCTCGCGGATATCTTGCGCCGCGTGTGCGGGCAAATATCGTCGCGTTTGCTCGAAAGGGAATCTCGCGAGCGCGCCATTGTCTGGCGTTGCATATATTGTGTCGTGCGTGTGCGAGTCGTGTATGTCGAGCGTGTGAGGATTGTTACGTCGAGTGTATGAGAATCGTTTGCGTCGGGTGTGTAAGAATCGCCGAGCGTTCGGGATCCGGAGATTAAGGCGTGGGCGGATTGGCGTTATCGCGGGGTCGCGCTTAGAATCGAGATTGCGGGGCCCGCTTGAGAGCTTCGCTCGCGAAGGGAGCCTCGCGAGCGTGAACATCATACGATTTGTTCGTTCACTGAAAGAAATATATCTCATTAATATTGTTTATCGTCGGACTTTATTTTTGTGTGTTGCTTGCGTCACGCTCTTCTCCACCTTCATCCTTTTCACGCGGAGCTACGCCCTGAGCTTGTGGCGAGACTAAGGAGGAGAACGCTATCGAGACGTGGTGCGCGTCTATAATCGCACCTGGCGCCCAATCGAATGGTATCGCCCAAGACCTTAGATACGGTAATTACGGTAAGAGAAGTGACTTCGTTATCCCCTTGGAGCTATCGTCCGGTGGTCCGCGGGTTAATTTGCAGCCGCGCCCCCTCGGCCAGCAAGACCGAGGGAAATCGGGTTGCAAGTGAACCCAGCAAAACTGAATCATGTTTCTAACATTGTTAGAAATCTGCAGATATGCAGACTCGACTCTGTCGTCTCGGAATATCGTGGAAGGAGAAAAATTACTACAAGCTGGACACATCGTATCATGTGGTCGTTTACCGCAAATCAAAGACGGATCGATACAATTAATAGCTAGATGTTTGCAAACATCTAGCTTGAAAAGCGGAATTCCTCATAAAATTGAAGGAAGTATCTCAACTAGTGGAGAAATCGGTAAAATGTGCTGCTCCTGCAAAGCAGGAAACAGCGGACGATGCAAACATATTATTGCAGCACTCATATTTTGTCAAAGGTATGAATTTTTTTTATGTAAGTTGAATCTTATAATTTTTTATAATAATAAGCTTTTGATATACATGTAGTGTAAGTAAAATTTATAGTATATACTATATACTCATGATTTTAACAACTAACATTTTTTCTAACCTCAATGAACAGAAAGTTTTAAAATATAATCAGTTTATCGCATACATGACTGTCAATTCGCATGCAATTTAAGAAATTATTCTAAGATAATTAATTAATGCATAATTTAGTTTTTTCTATTTTAATGTTTCATTTCTTTTTATGTTTTAAGAGTCGAACTTTCGAAGCTTGACGAACTGTCATGCACTGATGTCGAGTGCTCCTGGGAAAAAAAAACCAAAGAAGCATTGCAACAGTATGAACCGATGCCTTTACTGGATCACCCTTGCATGCAAAAAATAAAAACCGAAGTAGTTAATGTGTCTGCAGAAAAAAGGGAGGAGATAAATCAAAATTGGCTTTCAGTCTCATCAAGCGCTATGAAAAAACATTCGTAAGTTAGTCTAGAGTTGTTATCATTGTACACAATTTTTTTATCAATTTATTTTTATACATTTAATTATACGAATGAATTTGAGTGTATGAAGTTAGCCCCCCTTTTTTTGAAATTCATATTTTTGAAAGTTGTTCCAGGTTGTTCTGACTTTGTACTACATTGTTCCAAAACGATATTCCTTAATTCTCAACAATTTTTTAATAAAATAAAAAAAACAATTTTTTTGGCTGGCCCCCTTTTTTTCGAAAATTGAAATTTTTTTATCACTACAGATTGTTCTAGTTGTTCCAAACATTGTTCCAAAGTATTAGTTCGATTGGTTAAAAACTTTAAGAGTTATTGAAAAAAAAAAATTTTTTTAAATAACAGTTTTTGGCTATTTATTCGTAAACAAAATGACTTACAAAACTGTCAATCTAGAACATATTTCTAACCGCGTAGAACAACTCAGAACAAAATTTTTAAGACTAGAACAAGAACCTAAAGGGTACTTTACTCTTCATCGGAAATATTATTTTTCAATTTTTTTCGTTAAAAATCTTGTTCCAGGCTTCCCGCTTTAAAACTA